CCTGTAGTGCTGGTTGGAGCGGCGTGACCGCGCGTCCAGGACGCTCTCAAGGTCGCGCAATTTGTCCACCAAGGGTTTGCGAGCTGCGGCGCGCGCCCCCCTCACCAGCTTGGCCACAGCTGGTTTGTTGCCGAGGTAGTGATCTCTCTTCGCGGCCCTGCGTACCTTGTTGCTGTGCAGCTTCTTCTCGTAAGCGGGTGTCCCCTTCTTTGGGTTCCCCATGGTGTCGCGAAGCACGGAGCGCGGAACCAATCAAACCTTGAGCCAAAGCGGTTACGGATGGTCGAAGCTTGCTCGTGCCGCATCCGCTGGGGGGCTCTGTCATTCGGTCGGAGGGTTAGCAAACACTGTAAAAAACAGGTGTTCCAGGTCGGAGGGTCAGCAAACACTGTAAAACACAGGTTTCTCAGGTTTTTCAGGTTTTTGCGCATCCATCCACCTGGGAGCGCATAGATCCCCCAAAACCTGAAAAACCGGTGTTTTGCTGTGGTTTCTCGGCCTCTGACCTGACAAAACCTGTAAAAAACAAGTTTTTCAGGCCGGAGGGTTGGCAAACACTGTAAAAAACATGTTTTTTTTTTCAGGTTTTTCAGGTTTTTGCGCATCTTTCCACCTGGGCGCACATAGATCCCCCAAAACCTGAAAAACCTGAAAAACATGTGTTTTGCAATGGTTTCTCAGCCTCTGACCTGAAAAACTTGTTTTTTTACAAGAGATTCTCTACCTCTGGCTTGACAGGAGGCGCCACGAGCGCAATCGAAAGGACGAACTGAATTGATCAGGCACTCTCCTCCTCCTCCCCCTCATCATTCTTCCTCCTCCTTCTCCCCCTCCCCCTCCCTCCTCCTCCTCCCTCGTGGTTGGGATGTTCGCCCCACGAGGGCTCTCGAGGGTTAAAACTGAGGGGCCCTCGTGTCGTCGTTTTCCCCCGCCGTCGCGGAGGTATTTTGCTGCCAGTCCTGGCTGGTAGAGGGCTGGGCGCCCATGTGCAGAAGGCGCAGGCTGCGACCTCTCGCGTGCAGTTTTGTCGGCGCCTTGCTTCTCCGCAGCCCGCCCATGTGCAGAAGGCGCAGGCTGCGACTGTTCACGAACAGATTTTGTCGGCGCCTTGCTTCTTCTAGAAAAAACACCAAAACCGCCCAGGCCTACATCGGGTCTGCTTTCGGAGGAGGAGGAGGGGGGGGGAGAGTACCAGGAGGAGGAGAACGAGGACCACCAGGAGGAGGAGGAGGAGGAGGAGGAGGAGGAGGAGGAGGAGGAGGAGGAGGAGGAGGAGGAGGAGGAGAGAACACCAGGAGGAGGAGGACGAGCAAGACGAGGAGGACGAGAACGAGGACGACCAGGAAGAGGAGGAGGAGGAGGAGGGAGGGAGGGGAGGGGGAGGACTACAAGGAGAGGAGAGGAAGAGGAGGAGGAGGAGGAGGAGAGGAGGAGGGAGGAGGAAGAGGAGGAGGAGGACGAGGAGGAGGAGGAGGAGGAGGAGGACGAGGAGGAGGAGGGGGGGGGAGAGCACCAGGAGGAGGAGAACGAGGACCACCAGGAGGAGGAGGAGGAGGAGGAGGAGGAGGAGGAGGAGAGAGCACCAGGAGGAGGAGGACGAGCAAGACGAGGAGGACGAGAACGAGGACGAGCAGGAGGAAGAGGAGGAGGAGGAGGAGGAGGAGGAGGAGGAGGAGCAGGAGAAAGAGGAGGAGGAGGAGGAGGCAGGCTGAGGCTGAGGCTGTGACTGCGACTGCCGTTGCCGCTGCGACTGTCATCGCGAATGCGACCACGACTGCGAGAACAGCAGAATTCGACAACTGGATTTTCATCTGAATCTTAAGGGGAATGCTTTCAGATATGCTTCTACACATCGCTGTTAGGTTGCTTTGCCGGGATAATTATTTTCCACCGCGAACAGAATACCGTCATAACGCGCCAGGTCCTGTGACGGCTGAGTACCGAATTCGGAATGCAAAAGATGTCATTTCGCGGCAGAATGCAAAAGGATCCCCGTTGTGGCGGAATGCAAAAGGATCCCTTTTGTGGCAGAATGCAAAAGCATCCCTCTTGTGGCGAGTTTAAAAAGAATCCATGTGTAGTGGATTCCAAACGGGCTTGTTGTGTGGCACCATCCAACATGAATCTTCTTGTCCGAGTACATAAGGGTTTCCCTTTTGTGTGTGTGGCAGATTTCAAGAGGAATCCTTCTGTGGTTGATTGCCAAGAGATTTCTTGTGTGGCGGGATGCAACGGGAATCCTCGTGTGGGCAATTACAGACGGGTTCCCCTTGTAACGGAATGCAGAAGGATCCTCTTTGTGGCAGAATACTGAGGGGTTTCTTGTGGCGGAATACTATCAGGATTCCTTTTGTGGTGGATTGTTCAGGCTTTTTCGTTTTTGCAAAAACGGAGCTCGGGCAACTCTCCATGGGGCATCGCCGCAATTCTGCCGACACCATGTTTTTTGTTTTTGTTGTTGTTGTTGTTGTTGTTGTTGTTGTTGTTGCTGTTAGTGTTTGCTTGTTTTTGATGTGGTCTTTGGTTGTTTTTTACCTAACAGCGAAGACTGATAGGTTTCTAGTAGTGTCAAAAGAGCTCACAGATCACTCCACAGGGGGGTCCGGGCAGGTGTTGGGAGTTGCCGGGCGGGTTGTGTCCACCTCGTTTTTCACCAACAGTCACACACTTCGTGCTCTTCGAGTTCCCAGAACTCCATTCCCAGGCTCATTCTGAATAACCGGATGCAACAGTCACACACTTCGTGCTCTTCGAGATCCCAGAACTCCATTCCCGGGCCACATTCTGGAGGGCCGGATGCAACAGTCACACATTTCGTGCTCTTCGAGTTCCCAGAATTCCATTCCCGGGCCACATTTTGGATGCCCGGAGCCAACTGTAGGCCACTTCGTGCTCTTCGAGTTCCCAGAACTCCATTCCCGGGCCACATTTTGATGCCCGGAGCCAACTGTAGGCCACTTCGTGCTCTTCGAGTTCCCAGAACTCCATTCCCGGGCCACATTTTGAATGCCGGAGCCAACTGTAGGCCACTTCGTGCTCTTCGAGTTCCCAGAACTCCATTCCCGGGCCACATTTTGAATGCCCGGAGCCAACTGTAGGCCACTTCGTGCTCTTCGAGAACTTCGTGCTCTTCGACTTCCCAGAACTCCCATTCCTGGGCCACATTTTCAGCAGGGGCAAGAGCACGACGAGGAGGAGGACAAGCAAGACCAGGAGGACAAGGACGAGCAGGAGCAGGACGAGGAGCAGGAGGAGCAGGAGAAGAAGGACGAGCAGGAGGAGGAGGAGGACGAGCAGGAGGAGGAGGACGACCAGGAGGAGGAGGACGACCAGGAAGAGGAGGAGGAGGAGGAGGAGGGGAGGGGGAGGAGCACCAGGAGGAGGAGGAGGAGGAGGAGGAGGAGGAGGAGGAGGAGGACGAGGACGAGGAGGAGGAGGAGGGGGGGGGAGAGTACCAGGAGGAGGAGAACGAGGACCACCAGGAGGAGGAGGAGGAGGAGGAGGAGGAGGAGGAGGAGGAGGAGGAGAGAACACCAGGAGGAGGAGGACGAGCAAGACGAGGAGGACGAGAACGAGGACGACCAGGAGGAGAGGAGGAGGAGGAGGAGGAGGAGGGGAGGGGGAGGACTACCAGGAGGAGGAGGAGGAGGAGGAGGAGGAGGAGGAGGAGGAAGAGGAGGAGGAGGACGAGGAGGAGGAGGAGGAGGAGGAGGACGAGGAGGAGGAGGGGGGGGGAGAGCACCAGGAGGAGGAGAACGAGGACCACCAGGAGGAGGAGGAGGAGGAGGAGGAGGAGGGAGGAGGAGGAGGAGGAGAGAGCACCAGGAGGAGGAGGACGAGCAAGACGAGGAGGACGAGAACGAGGACGAGCAGGAGGAAGGAGGAGGAGGAGGAGGAGGAGGAGGAGGAGGAGCAGGAGAAAGAGGAGGAGGAGGAGGAGGAGGCAGGCTGAGGCTGAGGCTGTGACTGCGACTGCCGTTGCCGCTGCGACTGTCATCGCGAATGCGACTACGACTGCGAGAACAGCAGAATTCGACAACTGGATTTTCATCTGAATCTTAAGGGGAATGCTTTCAGATATGCTTCTACACATCGCTGTTAGGTTGCTTTGCCGGGATAATAATGGTTTTCTTCCCCCTCCGCGCTCACAGAGGAAACTCTTTTGAATTTCCCGCCTTAGAAGGAATCCTGCTGTACCCCGCCATAGCAGGATTCCTTTTCCATTTCGCCACAAGAAGATTCTTTTCGTATTCTGCCATCAAGGGGACCCTTTTGCATTCTGCCGCAAAGGGAATCCTTCAGTATTCACCCGCATAAGGAACAATTTTCCGTTCCGCCGCAAAAAGAGCCTGCGCATTATAACAGCATTCCGTTTGTCGTGGGATGGTGCAGAATTGTGTTGAGTAGAATGGAAGCAGGTTTCTTTGTGAGTGGAACTAGCATGATTCTCAGTGTGGCGGATTAGAGAACGATATTTGTCGCTACTCCCTTTGAACAGACAAACGCTCAAACCGCCCAGGTCTGTCTCGTGCCTGGTGCGGGAGGAGGATGAGGAGGAGGGGGAGGGAGGAGGAGGGAGAAGGAGGGAGGAGGAGGGGGAGGGAGGAGGAGGCGGAGGAGGAGGCGGTGGAGGAGGAGGAGGGGGAGGAGGAGAAGGAGGAGGAGGAGGAGGACGAGGAGGAGGAGGAGGAGGAGGAGGAGGAAGGAGATAGTGTTTTCGGACCGATGCGCCGACTCCATACGAATCGTTTCAGCCAGCTCTTTTCCCCTCTAAGGCTATCCAATGCCGACTTCGACTGCCTCCAGCATCTCGAGCTTACCTGCGCCTTGTCCTCTCCCCGCGCTGGCGTCTCACGGCCATGCTTACTCGCTGGTCCTTTTTCCGGCGCCCGAAAAAGTACAACATTGCCTTCTTTCCTCTCCCACCAGGGAAATGGAGAGGAACATGAGCATGTGAGGATGGGTCCCCAGACGTTGCGAGCCCCCGTTGGTGCCTTCAGGTCTTCTCGACCGCGGCCGACAACCAGACACAGGTGGCTGCCTGGGAGCAGCAGCGGCAGGGACACCCGAGGAGAGGCTGGAGTGCGAGGGAGGAGGGCAAAGCGGGGCGGAAGGGGGGAGGTGGAGTGGTACTTTGGGTGGCGTGGCATGGAGGAGGAGAGGGTGGGAGATCGAGCAAAAAAAGCTGCATACAAGCCACTTTTCTTTATGGTCCGCGTAGATTTCTTGGGTCGGCGCTGGATCTCTCTGGCGGCGCCTCAAGCGCCGCCCCTAGCGCGCTCCACGCGCTAGGAGGGGCGACCAGCGCCGATCCAAGATGGCCCGGTGGACCTCGGACAGTGAATGCTTGTTCAGTTTCTCTTCCTTTGGGAGAATGGGGGTGAGTGGAGTGGGCGCCATCAGCGGGGGAGGAACCCACAGGGAAAATTCTTTACGCTTCGCGTATCCCCACCAGCCCATCTCACAGCAGCAACTCTCGCGAAGCATGCCGACAGTCGTGTTTTTCAGGCGTGTGTCCGCTTGGCCCCGCATATCTCCTTTGTTCCTCCTTCCTCCCGCCTCCTTGTACATCCTCCTTGTGGGGTTAGCGGGAGAAGGACGAGGCGGAGGAGGAGGGAGAGAAAGCGCTCCTCGTGATTTGAGTCGTTCGGGGTTTCTCGTCCTGGTGTGAGTCGTTCGGGCCCTTCTTCCTGGTGTGAGTCGTTCGGGCTCTTCGTGGTGTGAGTCGTTCGGGCTCTTCGTCCTGGTGTGAGTCGTTCGGGCTTCTCGTGGTGTGAGTTGTTCGGGCCCCTCGTCCTGGTGTGAGTCGTTCGGGCCCCTCCTCCTGGTGTGACTCGTTCGGGCTCCTCGTGGTGTGAGTCGTTCGGGGCCCGCGTCGTGGTGTGAGTCGTTCGGGCTCCTCGTGGTGTGAGTCGTTCGGGCGCCTCGTCCTGGTGTGAGTCGTTCGGGCCCCTCCTTGTGGTGTGAGTCGTTCGGGCTAATCGTGGTGTGAGTCGTTCGGGCCCCTCGTCCTGGTGTGAGTCGTTCGGGCTCCTCGTGGGGCCTCTTGGGGGCCTCTTGGGGGCCTCTTGGGGGCCTCTTGGGGGCCTCTCGGGGCCTCTTGGGGCCTCTTCTCTTGGGGGCCTCTTGGGGGCCTCTTGGGGCCTCTTGGGGGCCTCTCGGGGGGCTCTTGGAGGCCTCTTGGAAGCCTCCTGGGGGCCTCTTGGGGCCATCTTGGGGCCTCTTGGGACCTCCTCAGAAGCGCAAATGAGAGCTGCCCCCTGAAAAGAACAAAAATGAGCCCAAAACCTTCGTAAAAGCAATGATTTTGCTATGAAGGAAGATGAGCGCGGCCCCCTCAGGACGCCAAAATGGGGCCAAAACCGTAGTAAAATCAACGATTTTGGCTTCAAAGAAGAGCAGAGGGGCCAAACTGTATCCCCCCGACGGGGCCAGAATCCTCGTGAGGGTCGTCGTTTTTTGGCCGCCCAGGAGTCAAAAAAAGACCCCCCTGACTACGCCCCGGACTCCCTGTCCAGGTCCAGGGGGAGGGGGTAGGGGGAGGGGTAAACCCCTCCCCGAAGGGGAAGATGGGGGGTTGAGGACAGAGAGAGCTCTCTAGACCACTCACGCCCAAAGGGCTGGTGGGAGTCAAGCGGGGGCCCTCACACGGTTTTTCCTTCTGTGGCGGAGGGAGGTCAGAAATCGGGGGTGGGGTGGAGTGAGATGTGCCGCCTGCGGTGCGCGGGTCAGCGCCAATGGCCAGTCCCCGCGCCCGATCCGACAGACCTGTTTCCGTCTGGTGGTCGAGGGCTCAAACGAGCAGGGGTGGCGAGGGAGCGGGCAGGGAGGGAGGGGAGAGGGAGAGGCCGAGAGGGAGAGGGCAGGGAGGGAGGGCGGAGGGGCAAGCTAGGTGCGCTCGCGTCACATCTGACGTCCTACCCCTCCCTCCCATCCCTTACCATGGCGTAGATCTCATCTCTATTGGCACAGTCGGATGTCGAGCAGGGCAATTGTCGCGAGAGGGTGCGCGATGCATCGTACAGCACGACAAGGCATGGCGTAGAAGAGCACGGCAGAGCGTATAATGTCATAGCAGTTCAACGCAAAGCATGGCATCGCACAGCGGCGCAGAACAGACCACCGCACAGTTATTCATAGCAGGGCATCGGGTTCCTTGGAGGGTAAGTGGATAGTCTTCGAAGGGTCGGGGCCGGTTTGGAGTCGCGGCTCCATGTTTAGCTCCCTGGGCTCCGCGACAAGCTCCCCATAAGGCGGGGCTGATGGAGAGCACCCGCTGGCACTGCTTGCAACGTCGCTTTCTTGAAGCAGAATCGGGGCTCCCGCTTGATATGTCCTCCCAACGCCGCCGCCCAGGGCCTTCTGCGGGCCAACAGCTCAAGGAATCGACACCAGATGTGTAATCAATTGCGATGTTTTTTGGTTTGTTTTTGTATGGAGGTAATTTTCTAGATTGGGGGCCTATTTGGAAGGATCGAAAACGCCCGCGCTGCAGCGGGAGCACGTTTTGGAGCAACCAGAGGCGCAGAAATGTGGCCAGCGCTGCAGCGGGAGCAACAATATGAAGGACCGAGAAGAATCGGATTTCCAAAAGTACATATGACAACCAGGAAACGAGGCCAGTGCTGCAGCGGGAGCACGATTCGGAACGAGCGGAAGGCCGAAAATGAGGCCAGAGCTGCAGCGGGAGCAACATTTTGAACAACAAGCCAAGCGAAACCCCAGTTCCTGGGAATCCTGTGTGTAAAAACCAGTACGCAGAGGGGGGCCGAATATCTTTCGGACGTTTCGGACGTCCTCAGGGGAGAGGAGAGCAGTATTCATATTGCGAAGGCCTGACGGCCGGTGCCGCCGACCCTGTTCGCAATGCGCAGCAAGAGGCACGGGCTGTGGGATGGTTTTGGGGAACGGGGAGAAGGACGAGAAGGTGGGGGAGGGAGGTGTCGTATCTGACCCGGGACTTCCCCGGGACTCCCCCGGGACCCCCCCCGGGACCCCCTCTCCCTCCCCCGGCGGGGAAGGGAAAGGGAAGGGGCTTCCCTTCGACTCAATTACGACGTTGCTCAAGGTCGGTACGGGGGGGGGGCGTCGTATCTGACCTGGGGGGGGGGTCGCTACCGCCCCCCGCTACCCCCCCCTCGCCTCCCGGCGGGGGAGGGATCAAAGGGAAGGGGCTTCCCTTCGACTCAATTACGAGGTTGCTCAAGGTCGGCTTGGCTGGAGCCCAGGGGAAGAGGAGTCCCAGGGGGGGGCGTCGTATCTGACCCGGGGGGGGGGTCGCTACCCCCCCCCCCCTCCCGGCGGGGGAGGGATCAAAGGGAAGGGGCTTCCCTTCGACTCAATTACGAGGTTGCTCAAGGTCGGCTTGGCTGGAGCCCAGGGGAAGAGGTCTCCCAGGGAAAGGGAAGGACAGAGACGACGAGTACAAAGAATGACGGAGATGACGGCTCGAACGGAAAAGCCCTTCACACACGCCGACAGGGTCGGCGGATATTGTCTAATTTGGCATGGGGGGAGGGCGAGGCCGGGAGGGAGAGGGGGGAGGGGGAGAGGGAGAGGCCGAGAGGGGGAGGGCAGTGAGGGGCTGGGAGGCACGGCGCAGGAGCGCCGGCGGGGCGCGAGGGACGGCGGGAGGAGAGGCCAGGCAAGAGGGCGGGGAGAAGTCGATGCCGAGACGGGGGTGGAGGAGGGTCAGGAGGTCCAGATGGGGAGGAATGGGGGGGCGGAGGGGGAGAGGAGGGAAGGAGGGACGGGAGGGGAGGGGGGAAGGATGGAAGGATGGCAGAGACAGAAGGCGAGGAGGACGTGAGGGGCAGAACAGGGCAGGACAGGCGCCGACACCGCTCCCCGTGCGCGCGGGCACGGCAGCGCCTTCAGGAGGTCGGTGGCGGGATGGTTTGAGCGGTCAGTAACAGTCGTTGGGCCCGTGGCCCATGTCCAATCAAGCGATTTGCATCTGTGCCATCATCGCCCGAGACTCAGACAGTCGGAGCATTGGAGTTATTAGTGATGGTGATGCCGAGCGAATTTGCGCGTCTGCTCGTGACACTGGCAATTGTTTGTGGGAAGAGAGCGGGAGAGGACAGAGGGGACGCTCCTCCCTCCCAAGCTCCCTGCTCCCTTTTCTTCTTCATCCTCCCTCCTCATCCTCCCTCCCCTCCCCATCCTCCCCTCCCTCCCTCCTCATCCATCCCCCATCCTCCACCGCCTCCCTTCTCACTCCTTCTCTCCTCCTTGCTCCCCCCTCTCTCATCATCCTTCCTCTTCCCTTCTTTCGCCTGGGTTTTCCATCCTTACCCGCAGCGCTCCGCGAGCTCCCCCGCGGCTGCTCCGAGCGCCCCAACGCAGGTGGGCATCAAGGTCTTCCAGGGCGAGCGCGAGATGGCTGCGGACAACAAAATGCTGGCCGCGCCGAGGAGGAGGAGGAGGAGGAGGAGGAGGAGGAGGAGGAGGAGGAGGAGGAGGAGGAGGAGGAGCACGAGGACGAGGAGGAGGAGGAGGAGGAGGACGAGGATAATACGAATAATAAACTTAATGCTAGTAATCTTAAGAAGCAGAGGAGGAGGAGGAGAAGGACGAGGAGGAGGTGAAGAAGGAGGAGGACAAGGAGGAGGAGGAGGAGGAGGAGGAGGAGGAGGAGGAGGAGGAGGAGGAGGAGGAGGGGAGAGGGAGGGAGTAGAGATTTCCTGGGAGTTGGGGAGGGGGCGGAAGAGGAGGAGGAGGATGAGGAGCAGGATGAGGAGGAGGAGGAGGAGGAGGAGCAGCAGGAGGAGAAGGAGGAGGAGGAGGAGGAAGAGGAAACTGGCGGAATACGTCGCCTTTGAGGGTGGCTGGCCCTTGTCTTCACAACGTCAACATACAGAACATTGCGGATGAGTGACACCTCTGCGCTCAAATAATTGAGTTGGGCCAGCCAGCCCCAGTCTTAGGGGTCGCCCACGGACGGGCCGCCAGGGAAACCATCACTGTTCGTGCGAGTGCATCTGAGGGGTGGCCAGCTGGTGGCGAGTTGGGCAAAGGACGCGCAGGATGTCGGGGTACCCAACCAATTCGGGAAAGCGAGGCAACGATGAAGGAAGCCTGATGCTGGAAACGTTGGTCTCGATTGCTTCGCGTTATGAAGGCGATGCCGCGCACGCATTCCCGCGCCTGCGCATGCTCCGACACAGAGGGCACCGAAGCATAACAGTGACGTCTCGCAAATCACCTGAAAAGGCAGGCGTGGCCCAACACATCAAGCGCAGCAGCGACTTTTAGCAAACGAAGAGCAGGTTGAAATGAACACGTGTTATAGCCATTCCATGGTTGATCTGCTAGGACAAGCGTCGCGACGCCACGCCGACCCGAGAAGCAACCAGTCACAACAATGACCGTTTAGAAACGACAGGCTCCAAGGCAGGCAAGATCAACACACGGTAACCTGTACGATCCGACAACGTAATTCATTACACGACTAAGCAGGCATGACAAGCGTCACGGCGTCACGCTGGCCCGAGACAAACGGCCAGGCACGGGGACCACCGATTTGTAATGACAGTCACCATAGCAGACATCATTGAAAGCACAGACAACATGGTCAGGCATACTATACGTGTTCTACGACTCGGTTTCTTTGACAGACATCACTCCGTCACGCCAGCCCGAGAGAAGGTAAGTGTATTAACGATTGTTTAGAAACGACAGGCGTTATTGCAGACATGTTTTGAGAACGCCGCAGTCTGCAGTGTAAGACAAAAAAGGTGCAAGCATTCCGCGGTAATCGAACCATACCGCCAGTCCCAAACAACAGTTTGTCATCGGAATATCCCGCGCCTTGCGTATGCTAGAATGTGCCATCCGACTCGGGGACACATGCTGGAGGTGCGGGTGGTCGAAACAAGCAGTTGGTCGGCTCTTTTTCAGGGGTACTCGAATGCGTTACGTTTGTGCGAAAGGGGTTTTAGGATATTCTAGTGTGAGGGGGAGGACAGAGAAATGAGGATGAGGATGAGGGCGGATGGGGCGGAGGTGATGGCAGATGAAGAGGAGGATGAGGAAGAGCACGAGGAGCTGGAGATGGAACCCCTTTCCCGCTCCATCCCTACACTCTCCACCGCCGCTCCCCCTCCCTGCGCGCTGTGCAGCTTGCCTTCTCCTTCTCCCCTCCCCTCTCCTCGCCCTGCGCCGAGTTCGACCAGCGTGAAGCCACTGCCCGACGGTGGCCTTGCCCCTTCCTCTCCTCGTTCGACGGTGGCGTCGTCGTCGGCGGCGACGACGAAGAAAATAGCGACGACGGCGACGACGTTGACGACGGACGGCGACGACGTTGACGACGGACGGCGACGCCGGCGGCGGCGGCGGCCACGGCGCCGCCGGTTCGATTTCGCCCGGCCCTGGCCCGCCGCGGCGTCCCTGCTGGCAGGGCCAGTTCGACCTCGTGGGCATCCCCCCGGCGCCCCGGGGCGTGCCGCAGATCGAGGCCCGCTTCTCTTGCGGAATGCTCCTCCAGCTCCTCCAGCTGCTCTGCCTGCTCCCCATCCCTCTTCCCTCATCCTCCCTCCTCCTTCCTCTCTCCTCCTCCCCCCCCCTCCTCCCTCTTCCTCTTCCATCCTCCTCGTTTTTGACTCAACTCCTCATCGCTGGGCAGCGGCCGCGCCGCGCTCGCTGCGGGGCAATGCCTGGTACGTTGACGCAGTTGCCTGGCCGCCACGACGCCGAGGAGGCCGCCCGCAGGGCGCTTCTAGCGGCGCACGCGGCGGCGGGGCTTGAGGCGGGGCACTCCCAGTCAGGGGTGCGAGCCCGCGCCTACGCCTGGCGCTGCGCTCCTCCCCCCTCTCCCCCGAGGCGGCGGCCGCGAGGGCGAGGTGGCCGCGGGGTTGCCGCTGCGGGCCGCGGCGCGCTTGGCGCGGCGGCCGAGAATGCAGGCGCTGGGTGCGGCAGGCGGCGGCCGAGGGCCGAGGAGGCGGCGCCGCCGCCCGAGCCCTGCGCTTGCCGCGGCTCTGCATGGGAGCGCTGGCTGCTCTCCCCCGTGTGGCGCCGGACGCCCTGCAGGAGGCCGAGGAGCTGGAAGACGAGTGGGCCGACGGCGGCGGACCAGCACGCCCTGGCGGCGGCGGCGCTGGTGTGGCGGCGGCCCTCCCGGGCGGTGGCTCCGACACGGAGGTTAGGGCCCCGGGTCGCGCGGCGCCCTGCGCGCGGCGTGCGCCGCTCCCTCTCGCCGCCCTTGGTGCCTGTCGCGGCGGCTGCTTCCGGCTCCCTCGCGGCTGCTGGCGGCTGTGCGATCCAGGAGCGAATGCTCGTCGAGGCGTGCGCCAGGATCGCGGCGAAGGGCGTGGAGCCACGTTCCAGCAGCCCCTCCTGACGCTCGTGGACGCGATGTGTTCGTGTCCTTGATGACGGGAAGGGGGCCTGTGGGTAGACTTTCCGCGGTGTTTTTATCCAGCTGCCCAGGGCCCATGAGGCTGCTTGCTCCGGTGCTGCTTCTGGCAGAACAAGTCCTGCCTCTCCCTCCTCCCGCCCTGGGAAGTGCCGCAGATCGATGAGGAGGACAGAAGAACAACAGCCAGCATAAACACACTTCGGGAGGCCCGCGCGTTTCTCTCGGGTCGGCGTCGGCCTCCCCCCTGACAGCGAGGTGCAGGCTTCGGCGAGCTTCGCGCGCGAGGGAAGGGGGGTCAGCCCCGTCCAAAGAAATCCGTGCGGACCTCCTGAAGGCTGTGGTGTGTTGCTTGTAGCGTCAGGATCGGGATGGTGATGGCGCGCTCCGGCAAGACGGCTTCGCTGCAGCTACAACGTGAGGCTCAAAACAACAAGGACTCAAGCTATACCAAACTCAAAGGGTACCCAGGACCTGGAATCATGCAGGAGGGCGAGGAGAAGGAGGAGGAGGAGTTGGAGGAGGAGGGGGGATGGGGAGTGGGAGGAGGCACCGCAGTACCCCCCCGGAAAGAAGTTACCGATTCTGCAGAATGTACCTACTCGTCCTAAGCCCCCTCGGAGGGCCTCACGAACGTTCGTTTGCACTACGGGATGAGTCCCCCTGGAAGACGATCGCCCACGGAGCTTCTCAGTCAGGCGAAATCCAAGTGTTCAGAATTGTCCGCCTTGCATCCGTGTAGCTTTGAAGAAATGCGAAATTGTAGGAGGTAGGATCATAGATGCAATAGGGTTGTGTAGCGATAGCCCCGTTCTGAAGATGAGCCGTCCTGCATCCGTTTGAGTGGTGTCCGCTTCTTCACTCATGGCCACAATATCCGATGACGTGTTAGCAAGGAGAGAAGCGGAGAGGCAGAGAGAGAGAGAGCGAGAGATAGAGAAAACAAGGGGGACATCTATATACACATATTTCACACACTTACGTTTGTACACATATATAGCATCCTCTAGTTACAGTGAAACACTTGGGTGCGACAAGCAACCGCCCTCCGTCCGTGTGGCTCTTACACATGTTCAGCGTCAACCGTGCATTTTAACAATATTGAACACCGAGCGAGAGCCTAACCAGCCCTCCATACGTGTAGCTGTCGGAAGTGTTGTGTCAGACGTACGGGTGCGGCGCAAAGGCGATATCCACAGTTTGAAAGCCATTCGCATTCGAATCGTGTAGGAATTTGAAGCGCCACGCGTCAGTCTTAGAAGTAGTGAACAAGTCCCAGGCAAACCGCCCACACCGTCCATCCGACACGTCTGGTTGTGCGAGGAGGGAGGAGGAGGAGGAGGAGGAGGAGGAGGAGGAGGAGGAGGAGGAGGAGGAGGAGGAGGAGGAGGGAGGAGGAGGAGGGGAGGAGGAGGAGGAGGAGGAGGAGGAGGAGGAGGAGGAGGAGGAGGAGGAGGAGGAGGAGGAGGAGGAGGAGGAGGAGGAGGAGGAGGAGGAGGAGCAGTCATATCCAGTTGCGCTGCCGCGCAAATCCGCCATCGCGCTCGAGCTGGCGCCTTGGGGACGGTGGGGGTGGAGAAGGGGATGTTGGCGAGGGTGCGCTTGTGTCGGTGCATGCCATAGGGGGTCTAACCAGTATGATTTGTTTTGGTGTTGTTATCTGGAAGTTGCCTGGTCGATCAAACGCGTGATCGCCTTTTGTTCTCGATGTGGGGCGTGGATCGTCAGATTCGTTGGTTTTCGACTGCTAGCCTCATGCTTGACGGAACGTGCAGTGGAGGAGCAGGAGCAGGAGCAGGATGATGATTTTGATGTTGATGATGCTGTTGACGTTGATGATGAGGATGAAACTGATGAATATGATTATGTTGGTGGTAATGATGATGACGATGAAGATGAAGAAGCTGATGCTGTATACATTGATGATGGCGATTATGCTAGTGATGACGATGTTGATTATACTGTTGTTTATGATGTTGATGGCGATGATACTGCTGCTGATGGTGATGCTGCTGATGATGATGATGGTGATGATGATGGTTGTGATAATGCTGCTGCTGCTGATGATGATGATGATGATGATGATGATGATGATGATGATGATGATGATGCTGATCATGATCATGGGGAGGAGGAGGAGGAGGAAGAGGATGAGGAGGAGCAGGAGGAGGAGGAGGAGGAGGAGCACGAACGGGAGCAGCAGCAGCAGGAAGAGGAGGAGCAGGAACAGGAGGAGGTTGTTGTCGTCGCCGCCGCAGTCGTCGTTATGGTGGTGGTGGTGGTGGTCGTCGTCGTCGTCCCCATCGTCGTCGTAGTCATCGTCGTCGTCGTCATTGTCATCGTCGTCGACGTCATTGGCGGCGGCGGCAGCCTAGCTCAAGGGGCACCCTGGCTGCTTGCCGACCCCCTGCGCGCCGCCCCGGTCCGCACCGCCGCGGACCACATGCGACGCGCACGGCCGCTCCGCGGCCACGCCTGCGTGGTCGGCGGCGGCGTCGCCGGGGTGACCTGCGCCAGGGCCGTCGCGTCCCGGGGCCATGCTCGGGTCGGACGAAAGCAGGGGCAAGCAGAAGGATGGATAGGAATAGGGGGGCTGCATCGACCCCCAATCGCTCAGTGATCGTCGATAGGGGCCCGATAGCCCCAACCCGCCCAGGAGGGTGCGGTTTTGCTATCGGGGGCCTATCGCCGATCTATCGACGATCTATCGCCGGGGTGACCTGCGCCAGGGCCGTTGCGTCCCAGGGCCATGCTCGGGTCGGACGAAAGTCGGAGGCCGCGTAAGGAGGAGGCGATCAATGCGGGGTCAGCGAGGGCGGCCAAAAAGGTGCCCTTTCAGGGCCCCAAGGGGGGGCATCTTTCTTCACCCCACACTTGTCGCCCCCCATAAAACCGCGCCCAGGAAAGAGGGGGACTGCCCCCACCTCCTCTTGTCGCCAGAAAAACAATGACGGACGATTTCCCTAGTTTTCGGCATCCGGTGGCCCTTGACTGGGCCCCAGAGCCGTCAAAGACGGCTCAGGGTGAAGAGCTGATCCCGGGGAACGGGGTCCAGAATTCCTGCGGCTCACGCTGTGGAAAAGTCAACGTCAAGGCGGGTTACGAAAGCTGCTGCATGCCGCTGGCCTCGGGCCCACCACGGGGCACACTTCTTGATGCACAGGCGCCTCCGGCACCCGGGAGGCGCCGGGAAAACCAGCCGCGTGAGCTGATTTGCTGCAGCCAAGACGCTGGATTTAGGAACGGTCCGGGCTCGGACGGGGCTTGCTGTTGCTTAGGTACTTCATGGTTGCTCCTCCTGCGCCCAGGCGCCTTCTGGGGCCAAAAAGCTTCCCCAAAGGGGCTTCGTTTCTCATGTAGCGGTCCTTGCTGTGGCACGGCGACTTTGCCCGCTCTGTTTCGAGGGAGCGCAGACATAGATTAGCGAGGCGTGGATTGGCGACAGGACTCACTTCCGTACAGAATCGGTACGCTCCGTCGCCCAATCGGGCGGCATTGGCTTCGCGCTTCGGGGGCACCTCACCCGATCCGTGGATTCGGCGCCCACCCGCCAGATCCACGGATCTGTAATCCATGTTAGCTCGCGCCCGGCAGCCGCGTGAGTTGATTCGCTACCCCCCTTGAGGACGCAATTCCTTGGAGGGTGAATTCAGCATCGGCGCTCGGATATCCGTGGTCGAGAACTGGCCGGATCAGGCACAATCCTGGTTAATTCCGCTCCATCCTGTTTCATTCAGCTTCATCGGGCTTCATCCTAGGTTCAATCTGGCCTGGCGCAGTGGCTTCTTACTGGGGCTGAGAAGCCCTTACCCGTTCTTGCGAAGACCCCCACGCATGTTTCCCCACGTGCGCTTGCATGTTTTATTGTCTTTCCCCCATGTATTTTAGTTCAACGACAACCCACTGTCTCTTTCAAAGTGAGATAATGCGTGTCCCATGCGCATGCCTTTCGAAAAAGTCTTTTGGGGACGGTCGGGTGGGGCTAGGACAGGGATACATGTATCCAGAGCCGTCAAGAGTGCTCTCTGAGCGTTCTGGAGCGCTCTGGGAGGGCAGCGGCGCCAGATGCATCCTCCACAGCCGTTGAATCTCAGAGATTTTTG